CTGTCGCCAAAGTGCTTGCTCATAGGGGGTCATATGATTGTTGGGCTTTTCTCTGTATCTATGAAGCGCCTTGAGGCGACATTTGTTGTGATTTGGCGCCATATAAATAAAATTGAATTGAATTGAATTGAATCAATGACAGCAGATCTGACTCTGATTGCATGAAAACCTTAACTTATTTTTTATAGCGTCTAACATGTTAGACGCTAAAATTAACATGTTGTTGTAAACATTCATTCTGGTAACTCAACTACATGTACACTACCATTAAACACTGCCACTGATTCCCATCTTTATGCTATGCTATGTTGCATTACTAAAACCATTTTTGCCTGATGCTGTCTCCGCTCCAGGGCCCAGTGTGAGGTGGAAGACCATCCAGAGGTGAGGAAACACACCTTTCATCTTCTCAGCGTTCCCTGAATAATCCTGCCCTTAACTCTTCTCTGGATCTGGGCCTCCGCCTCCCTGTTCCCCAGCTCCCCAGAGAGTCTCCGACGGGGTGCCGATGTCATGGCGGTGCCCAGTGCCCAAGAGTTTCACTGGCAGAGCCTGGCTCGACTGCCCAGCGGCCGTGTCTATCACACTCTGTCTGAAGTGGGGGGGCAGATGTACATGCTGGGGGGCTGTGACGCTGCAGGAAGGCCATGTCCATCCCTGGAGCTCTACTCCCCAGAGGTAAACAACGTGGACAGCGGAGCTGATAGTTTACTGTTTTCTGAGCAGGAATTAATAAACATAAAAATCTTTCAGTCCGTTAGAGACACAAATACACTTTTTTAAGCTAGAAATAAAACAGACATGAATTTATAAGAAACACGCAAGCATTGAATCTGTTTGATGTGTATGTACCCTGAACTAAAGGAGCCATGGACTTTATCTGAACACAGAACTCTAATTTAAATAGTTAAATACAACCCAGTTCTTTGACAGCTGACATGTCTTCCTCCTCGCAATTTTCAGGGGGACCGGTGGATAAGCTTGCCCCCTATGCCTACTCCTCGTGCTGGGGCAGCTGTGGCAGTTTTGGGAAAGCAGATCCTGGTGGTGGGAGGGGTGGGAGAGGACCAGAGCCCTCTGAAGGTGGTGGAGATGTATAACACAGAGGAGGGGAGGTGGAGGAAGAGAAGTGCTCTACGGGAGGCACTGATGGGTGTATCCATTACAGTGAAAGGTATGGATTATACATAAACTGTATGCACCACATACTGTTTCTGTTTCTATAGCAAGGGGACAATAATGAGACTAAAAATAGGCGACTGATCAAAACATTATTATTATTATGCATTTTAAGCAAAATTACTTTGTAATGGTTATGTCACGGCGGGGTGCGCCGGTGTGAAGAAGAGGTAGACCCAGATGCAGACAC